GTTCCCATTCTTGATTAGACACTGGAAAACTCATACAGGAAAGAAAACCTACGAATGTGAACAATGTCGGAAAATGTGCTCCCAGAAGTCACATCTCACTGAGCATCAGAGAATTCACACAGGAGAAAAACCCTTTGAATGTGAACAGTGTGGGAATGCATTCTCCAGCAAGGGATACCTCACTGTACATAAGAGGACTCACACAGGAAATAAGCCTTATGAATGTGAGCAATGTAGGAAAATGTTCTCCTGGAAGTCAGATCTCACTAAGCATTGGAGAACACACACAGAAGAAAAACTCTATGAATGTGAACAATGTAATAAAATGTTCTCCCAGAAGTCACATCTCACTAAGCATCAGAGAACAAACACAGGAGAAAAACCCTTTGAATGCGAACGATGTGGGAAAACATTCTCCAGCAAGGAGTACCTCACTGTACATAAGAGAACTCACACAGGAGAGAAGCCCTATGAATGTGAACAATGTAGGAAAATGTTCTGTAAGTCAAATCTCACTAAACATTGGTGAATGCACACAGGAGAAAAACCCTACAGGAAGCAGTACCTCACTGTGCATAGTAGAATTCATACAGGAGAAAAGCCCTATGAATGTGAACAATGCAATAAAATGTTCTCCTGGAAGTCAGATCTCACTAAGCATTGGAGAACGCACACAGGAGAAAAACCCTATGAGTGTGAACAATGTAGGAAAATGTTCTCCTGCAAGTCAAGTCTCACTAAGCATTGGCAGGAGAGAAGCCATATAAATGTGAACATTGTAGGAAAATGTTCTCCAGGAAGTCAGCACTCACTGTACATCAGAGAACTCAGCACAGGAGAGAAACCCTATGATTGTGAACAGTGTAATACAACTTTTACCTGAGAGTCACATTTACTGTACATCTGAGTACTCAACCTGGAAAGAAACAACGTAGGCAACATTTTACTACTGGAAGGCAGGGCTCATTGTACATCAGAGGACTCCCATAGAAGTGAACCCTTATGAATGTGAAGAATATAGAATTTTTTCTCTTAAAAACTATATTTAGTAAGCATCTGAAAAGTCACACTGGAGAGAAACTTTATGAATGTAGGGAGTATAGAAAGTCTTTCACTTATAAGCCAGCCCTCAATGTACATCAAAGAATTTACAAAAGAAAAAGCCTGTGTATGTCAATGTACAAATAGAAAATTTTTTATCTAATGTAAGTCAGTTTTTACTGTATATCAGAGAACACAGGAGTAAGTTCTATAAATGGGAATGGTGTAGAAAAATGTGTTCAGAGTAATCATTCCATGTTTTATATTAGAACACTCACAGGGAAGAGAAACCCTGTATGTATGGGAACTGTAATAAAACCTTCTTGAGGAAGCCACAACTTACTGTGGATCAGAGAACTCTCAGATCAGAAATCAAATGAATGTGAAAAATGAAGAAATCTTTTTATTAGAATTAAAAGGTTACCATACATCAGTAAACTCAAATGGGTCAAAATTTTCAGTAATGTAAGTTGTGCTATAAATCCTTGAAATATTCAGAAATATTAATTGATCTCTGAAGATAACAATATTGAACTTTTTTTTTCAAAATCAGCTTTGATTCATCAAGTCACAGTAAAAATTAACTATATCAGAAAATTTGGGGATGATATCTATCTACAAAAAGAGACTATTTCAGACGGCTGATGAATAAGATCTAAGAGTTTCCCAACTACAGAAGTAACATGCATATTTTGGCAAGTAGTTTTTTTAAGAGTTATTTTTGCTATAGGGAATATATGCTCTCTGAAAAGACAAAAAGAGTGATAGAAAGCATGAAATCACCCCTTGGGAGTGATGGCCACACCACAATCCCTTCTTTTCCAGCGTCCTCTTAGGATCTTGGGCACACATGTACACACACTGGCTTGAGTTTTAAGTATGTGACTCTGGGACTTAAACTACATTCAAATATATGAGAGACCAGTGACATAACTATTACAACATCTTCTAGCCCTAGCAAAACTTTATTTCTGTGTTCCATGTTTGATGTGTAAAGATGGAACAGAATATAAGCACTGATTTTGGCAAAAATACAGAAATTTTTCCAGCTTCCGAGAGGTGGAAGGAAACAGAACAGGCCTTCTTTAAGATCCAGCTCCATGTCTCCTGCGATCTAGCCATTTTGGGGGAAACTGAGAAATGAAGATGTCCCACTGCTAATTCGTCCTCCAGCATAGAAAACTCACATGATTGAACTTCCAAGATTGGGAAGAAACCGACCATCCACCAGATGACTAGAAATCACTGCAGGATCACAAGAAATATGGGGATGCAGGAAAATACCTCTCCCACAAGGGAAAAGGATAACTCCTCTTCATCCACATACAGTTCAATGGAAGTCATGGAAATGTCTGATAAAGAAATCAGAACATTCATAATGGCAAAGCTTACAGAGATGGAAGAGAAGAGAGACAAGGAACTGCTGAAGAGGAAGGAGAAAGGAGTTGAAGAGTTCCAGGAGGTGAGGAAATTCATGCAAGATCTAAAAGAGGAATTTCACACTTTACAAAAGAATCAGATGGAACTGTTA